GCGCCCTTAAGACATGGCTATTTCAACTAGCAGGACTGGCCTAAGGGGTAATTTTTAGCGGGGTTTTAAATATAATTTTAAAATAACAAAGACCAATCTAATATTTCTTTTTAATTATGTTTTAATGATAGTATTTTGGTATTTTTTGTATTTGTTTTTATCAGGCTGTTAGCCGCCCTGAGTCCGCAAGGAGAAGGGCGGGGTAAAAATCCAATAAATAAATAAATAAATAAAATAAACTGATGTTGGAATTAATCTGTGTTTTATTTACTTGAAAAATTAGATTTATGTTACAGTGTACATACAGAAAAAAAGTAGAGTGAACTCTGTGACTTATTACTTTTTCATATTACCCAGTAGCCACAATGATTTTGCAAATGTGCAAAGTATCTTTCAAAGTCTAGAGCATAGTTTTAAAAGGCCAGAACCAACCTCAAAGTAAAATGGTTTAAGAATAAGCAGAACATAATCCAGCAGAAGTGCAACAATCTGTTTTAAAACTAAAGGGGCTTTCATTTTTAGACACTCTAATGTGAATCAAGGGATTCTACAGCTCAGTTTGCCATTAATAGTTTGATTTTTAAGTTATGGTGATCACTGTAATAACAAAAAAAATATTATTAACTTTTTTTTTTTACAAATTTTATTAAATGTACATTTTAAAAACAAAAATGGACATGCTTCAACTTCCCTGGCTTCAACAGTGCTATTAGTATTACCTTATGTTACAGAAAGAAAAACAGAAACTTAAAATACATTCTTTAACAGGACAAAGTATAACAAACTGTGCGTATAACATCTGTAAAATTTTTGATAAACCATCTTTCAATCGTCAACATTATATTTACATATCTTTCAGTTGGGCCCGAAAGTAGGTACTAATAAGAAGTCCTTATGATATCAACTAGTCAATCAATAATAGTCTCAGCAATCCTCCTTATCTCCAACCAATCGTACAAATTTTTCCAAATTTCATAATACTCTGTTTCAGTTTTATAAAAAATATTATTAACTTCATCATTTGGGGGAACAGGAAAAAGACTGTATGCTATATATTAGGGTTGTACAGTACATAGATCAAGATTCAAAGGACAAAATGTGATTTGGATGTTCCTGAATATGAATGGTAGGAGCTGTCAGGAACACCTTACACCAATTTGTCTTTTCTGGAGACTATGCATCAGAGGCAGATGGCAGCCAGATTTTTTTGGGGGGGGGGGGGTAGGAAATGCGATACTTTTTAAATGTCCATCATTCCTGAAAGAGGCTGTATGGTGTTTTAGTCAAGATGGTGGCCAGGGTTGCATGATTGAAGCTCTGCTCCTTTTTCACATGTGTTGTACACACAATGCGTATAAAAGGTAAGTAAGGAAAAGGTTGTAGAAAGAAGTGAATTATGATAAAATCTTGGAAAGAGAAGTTTGATTAGAATTATATATATAACTGTCAAGAGGAAGATAGGAAGATGATAGATAGACAGACAGACAGATAGATTCTGTTTTTTAATTTTCTTTTTCTATCTTTTCTGTCTTTTTCTTTTTCACATTTACTTTACTATATGTATATATATTTGAATGTATTTCCTATTATCTATGTAAAATCTACCATCAAATTAGCATCTTGACTTTTTAACACCTCAACGCTCCCGCTCAATGATTCATTCACTTCAAGTGGGAAGAGGCCCATCACATGCCTGATACTGCCCACAGCAGCAAATGGGAAGTGAAATGATTAAGCAAACAAATACACCAACATTTTGAACCCAAGCAGTTCCCAAAGCCTGATTAAATAAATGCCTGATCCAGTCTGCAATCCTCTTACCTTGAAATAAGACCATATCATTACCTAAATTATTCTTCTGCATATATTCTGAATTAAATACAGCATGCATGTTTAATTACTGCTTAATATACCCTAAACCTAATTACTGCATTTAAATTTGGAAAGTCACTTCCAAATTTTATTACAAGTTTGGCTCCAGTTTTTGCTTTATGTCACAAACACAAACTGTTGCAGCTCAAGAGCAAATTGCTAGTGTATATTAATATTATTTGTTCTGGCTTAGATGCTAAGCCAGAACAAATGGATGCTAAGCAGGGGGCCTTCTTGCTAAGAAGGAGAAGACATATGCTTTGTTTAACTTAGCTCAATGAAAATCCATTTACAACAAGTACAACCATCATATCAAGGCCTCATAATAACAGAATCTGAGTTTCCTATTGCTGCAAGTACACATATGGAGGATGGGGAGTCAAAAAGTCAAGATGGCAACCTCAACCATGCAATCAAAGACTCTCCCCACTTAACACTGGGAGCATTCAAGAGCCTTTCTTAGTGGCTGTCAGTCATCATGGTATCAAGTTGTGAAATTGGAGAGGTGCTGGCTTAAGGATGCTGTAAACAACACTTTTATATTAAAAGTTTCATGAGAAAGGAATTATGTGTTGAAGAGAGGAAGTGGAAGATATTCCACTGCATACTGAAATGGGATGTTTTGACTGAGAAAAAAAGGAATCAGATGTGATAGGAAACCTCTCCTATTCAGAACTGACTATTCCTACTGGCTGCAGAGGCATCACCGAAAGAAAAATAAAAACATGGTAATGTGGATTTTTAGGAAAATTATGGCCTTCCTTCATGGTGGAAATAGATGGGGGAAGGAGACACAAGGACTGGGTGAGAATCAGTAAGTTTCTGTCAGGCCAGTGAAGATGCTCAGAAAACTTATCTGAGCCAATCATAGACTGAATAGTCCTTTAGATGAAGATTTATTTATTTGATTTATTTATTAAATTTACATGCTGCTCCAGTTCCTCGATAAAGTGACTTTGGGCAACTCTGATGCCATCAAAGAATAGATGGTCTCCTTACAATTTGTAAAAATAGCTTATTTGAGTCAAGCTTAATTTCTGAAGGCCATATCAATGTAAGTTCCATGGCCACAAATAGAATGGCTTCCTGTGCTTGGTATTAACCAAGTCCAAATGTATGTAGCTGCGTTGAGATCAGCCAATGTTAAGTTCCATCATCTGTTTTGGTTCTTGAAATATTGGACTGTCCTTTATAAAGCAGAATGCTGACCATCCTTTGAGACCCTCCCTCATTATCTTTCAGCTCCAAATCTCTTAGTTCCTCCAATATGTTTGGGCATTATGGTTTACTGGTACCATCATGTGTTTTTTCTTGCAATAATATCACAGGCAGCAGGGGGAAGTTTAAAATATCACCCTCTGGAAATGCTGCTCTTTGCAGCTGCTCTTTGCATCTGTGAACAAATCTAACTTTAGATAGAAAACAATCTAAGTATTTTTAACTTGCTAATGATCCTCTTGCAGAGTCACTGTAGGGACCCACTAACACTTTCCTTTGCTTAAGTTCTGGCCTGCTGTAACCTGCCCTCTCTGATAATCATCTCAAAATGCAATTTGAAAGTGGAAGCAGCAAACTGCTTTGCTTGCAAGCAGAGAATCTATTGCGACAAACTGATAGGTGTTTGAGTAAACAAAACAGATATTTGACAAACTTGTAAAAACAACAAGATTTGGAGTGTTCTGGTGGGAACGTGCTCTATACTTCTGATTTAGAAGTAGTAGGTTATTTTTAGACCTTTTGTTCTTAGCAGTTTTAATTGATCTTGAGGTAACATAGAACAGGCGTCTCCAACTCCCAGGCTGCGGCCTGTTCAGAACTGGGCCGCACAAGCAGCGGGCAAGCACGCAAAACTCCACTTGTGGGAGCGGCGGGTGGCCCGCTGCTTACACAAATGGAGCTGCGCACATGAGTGTGCTTGCCCACTGCTTGCATGGAACCATCCCCTCTCCCCCTGCCGCCATTGCCGTCCGCAAAGCCAGAAAGGTTGGGGACTACTGACATAGAAGTAGAAGATACGTTTTGCAAAGTCCTAGAAACATCTCACCAAGCTTTCCAGAATAATTTGTCAATTTGACTCTACTATTTTCACTCCTTTAAAATTTCCTCCTCCATAGTCACACATGCTTGCATTTGAATGTGCGCCTTTCTTTAGAGAGTAATGTAGATTTAAATTATACTAATCCTATAGCCATTAACTTCTGCACTGATTCAGTTATGTACTTAAGGACCATAAATTCAGAGTGTTTGAAGCTAATCCTAGCTGAATCACTGCAAGTTCTCATCCGCTGCATAATGCACTCACACAGAGAAATATATATAACATTTTTATTAAAGACAAATTGCTATTAACAATCTGATTGGGATTTGTTTTATTTCTCCAGGCCTGCTACAGAGACTGGAGAGGAGGAGGAAGATAAAGGTCCACCAACTCAGCCTGTTGCTCTGAGGAATTGTTTTCACCTGCAGAGGAACAGTATCCTTGAGAAGCTCATCAAAAGCTGCCCAGTTTGGCTTCAGTTTGGCATCAATCTGGAAAAGGCTTCTGACATACTCTGCAAGGAACCATCGGGGGTACAGTTATGCTTCTTCAAATATAACTCAGTTCTTCAGGGATCAGATATTCTTTCTCAAACCTCGATCTAATCCTGAATCAGATCTTTCGGCTAATCTGCATTTGACCGATGGCTTTGTTTCCCCATTATAGATTTGTCACTTCCTCAAGTGTTCATAGGACTGATTGTAAGATAGCACTTACAAAGGGCAGGCATAAATAGTACAGACTGGCCTTAATCAGCTTGCCCCTCATCAGAATTGCCAACCAACATGGACTGTCTCATCTTAGAACAGACATGTCGAACACAAGGCCCGGGGGCCAGATGCAGCCCACGAAGTGGTTTCATGTGGCCCATGAAGCCATCCTGGAAACAGTGAGGGAACGGCCCCCGCTGCCTTGGCCCTGGCCCAGGCCAGCCGGGAGCCAATGTACAATTTTGTGGTGGCCATCTTGGCACTTGCCCCGGTGGACCATGCCTTGGCACTTGCCCCGGTCCCACCCCCTTCTGCCAGAGACCCTCAGATCTGTCTCACTCCTGCCCAGGCCCCCACAGTCACCCTTGACGCGAATGATGTAGAACTGGCCACGCCCACCCAGTAGGCCTCGCCCACCCCATCCATGCCCACCCAGTAGGCTGCACCCACTCTGGCCACACCCACCCAGCCCCCCAAGGGCAACCGCAATGCTGATTCGGCCCTCAGTGAAATTGAGTTTGACACCCCTGTCTTAGAAGCATCAAGTTGGGGAATGCAGGATAGCCTGAGAGTGGCAGGCATCAGGAATGACAGGTTATTGTTGTTTACTAGCCTCTCCAGGTGGGCTATTCAGAACTAGATACAGCATATGATTTATTCATTTGATTTATTTAAAAATTCATATGCAGCTTTTCCAAACAAACTTTTTTTCCCCAGGACAGTGTGCAAAACATTTTAGAAACTGGCATCTGCTTCTAAGTACATGCTTAGCTGAAGAATTTATTTTATTTGACACACAAGGATTGAATTTTCCTTATTATAACGATCGCATTTGGTCCAGGGAGAGGGAATTTTTAATTATTGATAATATAGGGTTGCAATTTAATGAATGAATGAGGATTGAATACAAAAATGGAGTAACCTGTACAAGACAAGTATCTTGTGGTGCTTTGGTCATGAATGAGCATGAGAATGACTAAGGACTGAGTCTTTCTCTTATCTCCTAACTTTAATTTCTCTTGTTTACCATTTCTCATTTTTCCTTTGCTTTATATAATGTAGCTTATCCAAAAAAAAGTGTTGTGTGATACATATGCATGTATGGAAATCTAGTGACATTTTACTGAGATCTGTTGGGAGATTTTGTTCCATCTTTTGCTCTGCTTCAGTTTGCAGGGATGAAAAGAAAATACACCTTGGATTTATTTCCACACTAACTTTTGTAGCAATTGTGTTGACCATAAAATACTTTATAACTATTACATGATTGAAAAAAAACACAAAGGCTGTAGCTCGTTGATATTCGACAAGTGCTGCTTGTAAATAACTCAAATCTGCAATACAAAATTACACTTCAATTCCCATTTACCAAATCTCTCATCTTTTATTATTCCTTTGTAGTACCAGCTGCTATCTTTGAATAAAAGAAACAAATACATACCACAGCAGATTGCTAATACATATACTCTTATTTGGTCCTTATCAACCTTCTCAGTTCAGTTGTCCCAGAATTCCCAACTTCGCTATCTGGAAGCCAACAGATTGGGGAAAACTGGTGGATATATTTATTTTTACACCAATCCTTTCCACAGAGAGCCTTTCATCTCCTTATTCCCTTATATATCTCATCTCTACTTTCTTCTAAACCCAGCTCCATTTGCATTTGTTTTGCTGCTCAGTCCCAGTGGCTCTGTCCTTAGCAGTCATTCCCTCTAGCGCACTTCTGCTTCCTTTCTTGTGTCATTCTGACTTCCAAAAAACCTTCTCCCCACTTTAGAGACAGCTCTTTACAATAGACAGGCCTCGGTAGAGAATATGAAAGGGCTAAAAGCAGAATGGATAATCACAATGAAGGCAGCTTTGTATCTCAACCGACTTATTTATGCTAGTCTCAAATGAACCGGATCACAGGGAATAGGAAGGTAGTCTAATTTTCAGATGCGAGTAATAAAATTCAAAGCACGTCTTTTTTTTTTTTACAAAATTCTAGAAGGAACAGTAGATAAATGGGTTACACAATGGTGAAGATTCAATATATTAAATAATGTATTTTGAATGGGCTTTCAGTGCCCCTGAAAGAAATGTTGGGATCTTGGTGGACACCTGATTGAAACCATTGATATATTCTGCAGTAGGGTAAAACAAAAATTAAACTATAGGCTAGGGCAGGGGTAGGCAACCTTGGCTCTTTTATGACTCATGGACTTCAACTCCCAGAATTCCTGAGCCAGCATGGCTGGCTCAGGAATTCTGGGAGTTGAAGTCCATGAGTCATAAAAGAGCCAAGGTTGCCTACCCCTGGGCTAGGGATTGATGAGGGAAAAAGATGCAAATCCATGGCATGGCTTTCTTTGCTATGTAAGATATAGTTTCCATGTGGTGGAGCCTTCTGTATTTCTCATAGCACCTAGGTCTTAAGTGGAATGCCTTAAGAATCGACTGCTGTGCCTTCTTCAGAATCATTTTGAAGGCAGTGATACTCACAGAGGAGTGGAGTGATAGGAATTGGAGGGCAACTGATGTAAACTGATCTCAGCTTTTCTTTTGTAAGCACACCATAATGTCACTTCCATGTAAAAGGGGGTTTGTGTTGCAATGGTGCAACTGTCCTGGTCATTTTGATGATAAATCCTACAGGTGCTTCTGCCTGAAAATATGATGTGGCTGCGGTTTTACGGGGTGTTTTTTGAGAAAACAAGATAGAAAGCTTTCCAAAGTTATTTCATGGACTTGGCATTGGAACAAACATGTGTATCAACAGACGCTTAGGTTTTGTCCCTTGCTTTATCTGATAGTACTATGCTATACTTCAAAAATTAAATTTGGTGCAGGACTGAAGACAACATCTCTTGACAACAGCATGATAACAATAATGAAGAATGTTTTAAGAACAATAAAATTAGGAAAGCACTGATACTTCCATTTCTTAACACGACAAAGAAAACCTTACTTTAGCTGTGGATAAACCCATAGTTATAATTATATGGAAGTTTTTGTTATCGTTATAATGAGTGACTAGAGTGGTGAAATTGTTTTGAGGAAACTTGTGGATTTGATTTCAATAGATTCAGAAATGTGTGAAGGTTTACTTCCATGAAAATATCTCAGTATGCACTAATTCTGCCTTCCCACCTATTAAATAAGTTTCTTTCATTTCCTTTTATCAATACATTTTTGCTATTACATATTACATGCTATTGCATATTACTGCATCATTAGCATTGCTAGCTTTACCTTCCCACTTTTTGTAATAAGAGCAGCAGTCTATAATTAGTCTATAATTAGTCCATTTTTAAAGCTCTTGACATTCTATTTAGCCCAAGTCAAAATGTCAGCTATAAGTCTTCTCATCCAACTTACGCATGAAAACCATCTGGGTGACTATGGGCCAGTTATTCTTTCTCAGTCCAATCCACAATCAGAGAGTTATTGTTGTTGTGGGAAAAATAAGAAGAGGAAGGAGTATTAGGTATGTTTGCCACCTTGAGTCATTTATAAAAATAATAAATGTGGGAAACAAATAAATAAGGACTTTGTTTTCTATTTTAAGGGCAAGCTAATATAATTTGTCATAATTAGAGCTCAGGCTCTAATTAAATGCTACAGAAAGGGACAAAGTAGGTATTACCTATTACTTAAGCAAACCTTATAAAAAAAAATTAGTGATTAGGGGATCATTAGTAGGCAAAATGGGGGCAGTAAAAGAAGCATTTAATCCCTTGTTAGGGCAACTAAATTTCCAAGAATAAAAAGGCATATTAAATTGTAAAAATGTATTTATTAATGTTAATTCGTAACTCAATTTCCCAAGAGTCCTGAGCAAAATTTACAATAAATAAATAAACTTGGAAATTTAATATGTGGGAAAAGTTATTTATAACAAAGCAGTTTTCAATACTTACAAACTTTTCCTGTTTCCTATTTGTGATCACATTTTGGACAATATTATTTCCAGGTCAAAGCAAGTTAGTCAATGACTGAGAAACAATAGACTCTTTGAGCTATGATTCAGAAAATGAAAAAAGGAGTAGATCCTCTTTTCCATTCCACAATCCATTAAGAAGCTCTCCCAAACTGGATTGTGACAACAAAGTGAGATCATTCATCTATGTAACAGTTCTGACATTCATTAAGAGAGAGGACCTAGAGGAAATCCATGCTACCATAGAAGGATGGTTTCTGATTCATTTGGCATGCCGAAACCATTAGGATCAGGCATTTCTGTAGGTCCTTGACATATGTTCTTCCTACTTTTCCTGCAACTAACATTTCCTCCTACAAACATTTTCCCACATTTTCCTCTCAGCTGGATTCACCTTCCATGTTAGAATCCAGAATGGGTTGTAAGGCTATAAGAATTTCCAGTTAAACTTAACAGATGGCACAAAAGCTGGGAATCCATACTGATCTTACTGAATCAGTGTGGTGGCTGAATCCGTGTGATAAAGCTAGCTGCACAATGACCAATGTCCCCTAGTGCTTAAATTATTCAAACTTATACACATAAATGCACCAGGAATATGTGGCTATAAATTCGACAACCAAGCCATCAGTCAAATGCATGTTCATTATACTGTCTCTTTTTAGGGGAAGCAAAGTTATGCAAAATGAAGAAAGGAAAAGCACATTGTTTCTCCTTCATTCGATACGTTGCCTTTTGTACTTCAATGTTCTCATTTTTTTCAGGATTTCATTAAATTTATTCAACCATCATTCCCTTGACTTTCCTGTTCTTCTCAGCCGATTCCCTCCTTCTTCCTTGTTTTTGCAATTCAGTCCTTATTCACTCAATGTGTGAAAGCCACCTGAACATCCTTTTCCATTTGTCTCTCACATTTGTGTTCAATTCATGTTCATTCAGAATCCATCCATTTAGAATCTATTTACCCAATCTCTTATTATATCACCACACCCTGATTCAAATTATATTTATGTTCCTCCTTTCATTCAACTATTTCTTTTGATATACCCAGACTTTGAAGTGGACAAATTCTGCTATATATATATATATATATATATATATATATATATATATATATATATATATATATATATATATATATATATATATATATATATATATATATATATATATATATATATATATATATATATATATATATATATATATATATATATATATATATATATACAATATATATCTATTTTTTTTAACATTTCATTCCTCATGACAAAAATATATGCTATGCTTTGCCTTTCCAAAAGTATTTGCACATCTTAAAATTTCTGCATCTAATTTCTCATCATACAGTTTTCAAGTTACAAATTCATCTACTTGTTCTTGTTACTCATTACTTCTGGGTAAGTTTCTCTCCATTTAACCTGTCAAACCTTGATCTTTATTAATTTTCAGATCCATATTTCTTGTTTCATCAAATTATACAATCTACCTAATCACCAGCAGTAAATAATTTGAATTCTTGCAAACAACATGATCTCATTTACAAAGAAAAGTACATGTAAGAAAAAAAATCCTTGTCTTGTTTCTTTCTCAATGTAATTCATTTGTTCTCATGCAAATTTTATTTCAAGAGTTTAACTCCTAGACTTTTTGAGTCAATTGACTTTTGGTCATTTCCCCCCCCCCCTATCCTTCAGAGTCAGAAACATCTGCTTCATATTTACATAATGGCTTTGTCTGGCCTGAGAATCATTGATTCCTGCCTTCTTGGCTTTAGCCCATACAGTACCTTTCTTTCACTTCATTTATTAAGTCATATTATTTACCATTTACTGTTCTCAAATAACAAGTTGCGGTCTTGGATATCGTCACCAGACTGGCCCATGTATGTTGACCTCTGCCTGACATTATGGATTTCTTCGACTGAAGCTTTCACATAAACATTTTTTATAAGTTGGAGAAGAAATAGACCAACTTACTCATTATAATGGTTCCACATGCAGTATTCTGTGCTGCTTGTAATGACAGAACTGATGAGCTTGGACACATTCAGCCAAAGCACAAAGTCCACAAGCGCAACCAAAACTGAATTCTATCCCAAGCATGCTTATGTTATGATATGCAAACGAAGAACTTTAGCTGTAGGCCAAGACACTGCTGCCCATATCCCATCAACTAGGAATGTTTCTTTTACAAGACACCCAAATCTGTAATGACTCTGAGCAGTGATTGACATACTCAGGGTATAATACCAAGAATACAGAAATTCACTTCCATATCCTTACAATGCATAAATGCATACCTGCACATTTATGCATTCAGTTTATCTGATTCAAAATGATGTGAACTCTTAATAATTATATAATTTTCCAGTAGAAGCACATCAGCTTTTCTTCTTCAAATTTCTTCAATAAGAAAGAAAGCAAATTCATGGGGGTACAGGTTACTGCTTTAAATGTTATAACTACACACCAAACTTGATTTTAAAACAATCCAAACATTTCTTCCAGTATTAAACTGATCATAACAAGAATATGTGAAACTGTAATTTTGGTAAGAATGTAATAAAATTGTGTGTTCATTTTATACTTCAAACCTGATATTTTTAAATGAGGGAAAAATATTTTTATATTCTCATATAATCTCATTTGCCTCTTTTCCTCTGTTTAGATATTTCTGGTTCGGAAAGATGAGACCTTGAAAAATCTATTCCTGTTAGTTCATTTTCCAGCCCAGAAAGAGGGATGTGACATTCTAGAATACAAGATAAAAGAAGAAAAATCATGTAAGTTTATCTTCCTTCTTGAAACACATTCCACATATTTATGCACACTATACCCACATTATGATCTGTTTCAGTACACATATTTACAGTATATTTGTCTGCATATACATTTGCTATGAACTTTAGATTCTGGGGCTTGAACGGTTGCAGGAATTGGGTTTATTTAGTCTAGCGAAAAGAAGGACTAGGGGTAACATGATAGCAGTGTTCCGTATTTGGGGAGCTGCTACAAAAAAGAGGGGATTATCCTATTTTCGAAAGCACCAAAAGGCAAGACAAGAAGTAATGGTTGGAAATTAATCAGGGAGAGAAGCAACCTAGAACTAATGAAAAATTTCCTAACAGTGAGAACAATTAACCAGTGGAACTTGTTGCCTTCAGAAGTTGTTGTGGGTGCTCCATCACTGGAAGCTTTTAAGAAAAGACTGGATGGCCACTTGTCTGGAATGGTATAGGGCAGGGGTAGGCAACCTTGACTCTTTTATGACTCGTGGCTGGCTCAGGAATTCTGGAAGTTGAAATCCACGAGTCATAAAAGAGCCAAGGTTGCCTACCCCTGGTATAGGTCTCCTGCTGGAGTAGGGGGTTGGACTAGAACAGGGCTTTTCGACCTTTTCACCCATTGTACCACTTTTAGGATATGGCAATATCTGAGTACCACCAGTCGCCTAGCAAGGTGTCAAAAACTTGATGACCAAAAAAAAAAAAAGGAAAAGAGTGATAAAGTACAGGTAGTCCTTGACTTACAACAGTTCACTTAATGACTGCTCGAAGTTACAATGGCACTGAAAAAAGTGCCCCCCAAGCCACAGCCGAGCAAGACACCTGCCTGCCCATCCGGTGGCACTCTTCCTCCCGTCCGAGGTTTTCATTGTTGTGAGCATTTCTGTTGAGGATTGGCAGCAGGGGTGGGGGTGGGGGTGGGGGTGTTTGGTTTTTATTCCCCCCATCTGCTGGGTAATTGCAGCAGGTTTTGGTCACTTCACATGACCCTGGGACACTGTGACCATCATAAATATGAATCAGTTGCCAAGCATCTGAATGTAAATCACAAGACTCTGGAGATGCTGCAACATTCCAGCTGATCGACGCGTCTTCTCGGCTCAGCAGAAGCACCAGGATCATTGCTGCTCTCCAGCTGATTGGTGCTTCTTCAGGGCTCAGCAGAACGTGGTCCTAGTCGTGGCCCGAGGTCGACCTCGGACCACGACTAGGACCGCGAAGACGACTCGGGACTGTCGGGACTTCTTTGTGGCTAGTCGACCTTTCGCCGTGACTAGGACCGTGATAGTGACTCGGGACTGTCGGGACGTCGAGGTCAGTAGAGAGCGAGTCCGAAAACGTCACGACGGTGGCCAAGTCGAGTAACCCCTCCCCCGCTACCACTTTTCTAGGATGGTCGCGTACCACCTGCCAGGTGCCAATGTACCACAGGTGGTACCCGTACCACTGGTTGAAAAGCCCTGGACTAGAAGACCACCAAGGTCCCTTCCAACTCGGTTATTCTGTTAGGACTGTAGGACTGAGTTGGATCTTCTCAGGAGTGCTGTCCTTTGAGAGAGGAAGAGATTCTTCCTTGGTGTTGTTGTTTTTTTAGCAAGATGATTTTAAAATTATATTAGACAAATTCAGAGAAGATAGCACTATCAGAGGTTATTAGCCATGATAGATAAATGGATATTATAGGTTCAGGAGTATTATATTGCTTAATCTCAAATGCTGGAGACCTACACTAAAGAAACGCTCTGTTTATGGACCATTTAATAATATTTGGCTGACCGATACTAAAAACCAAGTGCTGGACTAGAATATTGGCATCTGGTGGTAATGTAGTAATAAATCTGTTGCCAGATGGTGATAGGCTTCTTGTCTTAGTGTATCAGAAAATCTCTGTGCAGCTCACTGTTTCCAATGGGTGGAAGTTTATCCATCAGGAAAAAAACACTGATGAACAAAAAATGGAACAGCAGAGCTATTATGATTGAAATGGAAAAGCAATACATTTTTCATATTAGAGAGATTGTGGTCAAATGGTCTGTGTCCTCTTTGTCATAGTGCACAAGATTGTGGCTACTCAATTCTTGTCTAGGCATTAACACTGAGGGGCAGTTTTCAAGAATGTTGCTCTCTTTTCTTTCCTAGCTGCCCATTTTATACAGTATTGAACTTTAGGGAGCTCTCATTTTTTTAATCTTTAACCAACTAAGATTGGACAGCCCTTAAAATAAAATGCAGCAAATTTGGACATATGGCCACTTTAGCTTGGAGCAGCCGTTAATATTATGAGGTTTCCAATTTTCCTATTACGAATCTTAGAAAATCTACGTAACTTATGGACAAGGAAAACGTTACAATAGGTTTGACCACTAACCATCCCTTAAGGTGTTTTCGGAACAGAAAGACTTATTCCGACTACACGTCTTGTCTTTTTACGTACTTTTTCCGACTGGGACTTAGTCCTTATGACACAATATGTGCTACGATGTGGTCAAAATGAACGACCGAGTATTTCCCTCTACTGTAAAAGGAAGCTTGAGTTTTGAAATGGGTTGTGTGTCCCTCCTTAATCACCACATCTCTCTGGCAATTTTCCAGGTTACTTTTCATTTCATTGCTGTTCCCAATTCCTGGTAATAAGGTGATTAAGTGAATGCAAATGCTAATGGCTATTCCAGAGCATTAAAACATTTAGCATGCTGCTCTCTGTGGCTTGGCCCACAGTGGCCTCTTGCAGATTAATTCTTTTGTCCTAGCTATTCTCAGAAGCCACATTCTCAAGTGCAATGAGTTGTGTCAAAGAAGCCAAACATTAAAAGTGAGTGAGTGTGTGTGTGTGTGTGTGTGTGTGTGTGTGAACATGCTTCCATAGCATTCCGCAATTTGAACTTCACAGTGTCCTCCTTCCTGAAAAAAAACTAAGTCTTTGATTCCTCGGCACACTTGATCTCATTTTCTGATAAGCAGCATTGCACACCCTGATATTTGCTGAGCTGCTGCTTTTGGAAGGAAGTAAAAAAAGTGCAAACATTTCTCAGAATAGCTTACACTGACATGCATCTGTGCCTAGAACTAAGGAAATACTTAGGGAATGTTCATGGGTTTTATGGCATGCAACATGTCGTGATTAAGACAGAGTTAAATTAGCTTGAACAATCCCAGAGGTATGATATCACTGCTGCATTTCTGCACTATTCATATGGAAACTAATGAGCAAATGGAAGGGGAAAAAAACAAGACAGAGGCTTAGAAAAGACAGCTTTACTCTTTCAATTGAACAGACCGTTTTGCTTCAGCTTGTTTCTGTAATTATCTGGAAATGCATTGCAATTCAGTATCCCTTGCAAAATATCATTAATCCTCCAAATACAGTCGAGCATATTTTAACATAATTCATGAAAAGTGTCTAGATTAATTGCATCATGGAACCATATCAGCATTGACCCTTGAGGTTACATTTGTATCCTATTGTTGAATCTTTCTGTTAGGATCAGTCATTCTGCAGCCTGCGTATGATGAGATCATTCTAGGAGGCTGGAACCAAATGGTAGTGATCTCAGCCAAGATGACCGAACACCTCCTTTTGGCTGCAGCTGGAAACTAGATGTAGCCAAATGCAGCTCTGGGTCCAAAGAAATCAAATATTAATTGGTTCCAACCAGATCTCATCACTATTTCTGATGTGGCCAAATTGAATGAGAAGAGGTGGAGTGAAGCAAGCTAACTGTTGGCTGTGTTCCAGGCTGTCTCCCAAGAAATATTGGGCACATGCTACTTTTTGAGAACTTTATCTTATGAGAGTGTTAGTCACTTTAACACAGTGGTTCTCAACCTTTTTAATGCCGCGACCCCAACCGGTCATAAGTCAAGGACTAAACCGGTCGTAAGTCGAGGACTACCCAACCGGTCGTAAGTTGAGGACTTTCCCTGCTCGGGAGCACCACGCATGCGTGGTTCCGCCCCCTGCGCCGGCCGAGGCGTAGCTGGCAAGCGGCAGAGACGGAGCAGGCTGACCACCAGCTGGCCCAGCCCAAGGGAGGTAAGGCACCCGCCAGAAAAGGGGAAAAAAATGGCGGACAAAAAAAATGGCGGACAGCCTTGCTTGGCGACCCCTGTGAAATGGTTGATCGACCCCAAATGGGGTCCCGACCCACAGGTTGAGAACCACTGCTTTAACAGATCCCAGGTGCCTCTTTGGGACCTTTACTTTTCTCCCCAGTTTATTCCTGATCCTAATGCCAATGATCCCTTGGTTATTCCTGCAGTGTACTTCTTGTAAGTTGTAGGTTCCTGGAGTGTAGATTGTCAATTGCAATTCTGCATATTACATAAAGAGGAAAAGTAATGACTGATGGAAGCATCCTAATTATCTTCCAAGATATAATAGTATCAAAGTGACTTCAGAATGTTCTCTGAAGGCCTGAGAGTGGAGTGAAGAACACCCCTTATCAGACACAGGTTAGAATGAATGACAGTTTCTTAGAAAGAGGACAGATTGGAGCAGGAGAATTAGCAGGATGAGGATACTGATAATGGTTGGAAGGCTGATCTAGACCAGGGCTTTTCAACTGGTGGTACGCGTACCACTTGTGATACTTTGCCACATGGCAGGTGGTACACGACTGCTAGCCAAGTGTAGCAGAGGAGGGGAATGAGCCAAGCCTGAGGGAGAGGCAGCTGCAGGACTGTCTGGACTTGGCAGAAGCCCCAGGAGCCAGCAGGGCTCCAGCTGATTAGCTCCAACTGATTGGCGCTTCCAGAAGCAGCTCGGAGCTGGAGGTGAACTGAAGAAAAAGGGGGGGGGAGAATGGAGAGACTATAAAAGAACGTGGTTTGGGTAGGGGAAGGGAAAAAAGACAACAGGAAACGTTTAATCCCTTTAAACAAATGTAATTAGTTTTACCCCCTTTAATTGAGTCTGTGGCTTTTAGAAAGTTTTCTTTGAAGGTAAACAGGCTTAATTTAAAGCTAAAGCTTTTCGCAATTGCCGGAGCCTTTCAGTCTAGAATTGCAACATTGTGACACGTGACATGCCTGAGGCAGCTTAAAGATCTCTGTGTGTCTCTCTCTGTGTGTGTCTCTCTCTCTGTGTCTCTCTCACTGTCTCTCTCTGTCTGTCTCTCACTCACTCTCTCACATACACACACACACACACAAACCAGATGTCACCTCCCAGGATCTTCATTTAGGTCAGGGGTCCTCAACCTTGGTAACTTTAAGATTTGTGGACTTCAACTCCCAGAATTCCTGAGCCAGCAAAGCTGGCTGAGGAAATCTGGGAGTTGAAGTCCACAAATCTTAAAGTTACCAAGGTTGAAGATCCCTGATTTAGATGTTAAAGAACAATGAAAAGACAGTTGAGCCCTCTGGTGTCTCATATTTATTCCAACAGGCAATGAGGTGCAGGGTGGTGATACCTTCCAGAGGTTTAGTAAAATTCCAAAATGCTTACAGGAAGCTATTGAGATACATTTCTGCCTACCATTTCTACAGTGGTAGGAAAACAGTTCTAGGCAACAGTAATGTGCAGCTTGACCAGAAAACGATCAATCTGACCATGCCCAAAAGTTAAAGGTAATGTCCCCCATTTTCAGATGCACATGCCATTTGTTCTGAGTTAAACTGCTAATCACCAATATATGAGTAGGGATTGATATAATCTGGGACACGGAAACCATAAATTCCTAAGCAGCACTGGACCTCATTCCTAAGGCACTGATGTTGAAAAGCTTAACCATTTATAGCATAAAGGACTCTGGCACAGTAATGAGGTCTACTGCAAGGTTTTTCTCAAAAAGTCTCACAACTGGTGTGACTGCTGCTATATTTAACTTGTAGGTGTATAAGAATTTCATCTGAGCTTCTTCTCCAGATGTCCCTACCTAATGAGGAAATGTTAGTGTCAGAGAAAGGGCCTTGTTGGAGGCAATGCAACCTCCCTCAAAAGGCTCATTTGATGCTAACATTAGGAACTTTGGGGCAATAAATCAAGTCTTTGTCTTTATTTCTCAGGAATTTTAGGAACCCTTTTGGTGTTAGAATTTAGCTATTTTCATGATTCTTTACTATGATTTTATACTTTTTAGCGATTACTATAGCTCTACTACTTCCTAAGAATGTTTTAATTCTGTTCTCTGGTTTTTAAAAATATGCTAATATTGTTTTTGTATTTACTTTTTTTTACAACATGGGTAGTACAAATACTGGCTTACAGGACATGAGATTGCTTCCTAATCTGTTCTCAGAATGAGGGCCAGGGTGCCTTTTTAGGGGACAGCAGCTTGGGGACAAACAAACGTACCTTCTGGTTGTTCAATCACTACTCCCTCTAAAGTTGGTCTGGTCAAAAGGCAGAACATTTTCCCAACAACAGCAGAGAATCAAACAGCTCTAGAAGTAGCATAAGAACAACTGCAGGCTTTCAAACTTGATCCTTTACAATGCCAAGACATTGTCTCATAGACAAACAGAGTGGAGCCTTGGAGATGTTGCTTTCCAGTCATGGTCACTGGCTTTATTTTTAGCTTCAGCAATGTGCCAAAGATAGCAGTGTCAGTTCTCCATATTTAGTAACCGTGACCGCAGCACATTGGAGCAAGCTCAGGGTCGTGCCTCTGGTGTCTTTCCATATTTTGGGTAAGTTGCCCACCTATTAGCGAGTTCTAGATAATTAGAAAATAAATGTTCTCTTATTTATATTTTCTGAGGGAAGCAAGGATGTCTCTGACAGTCTAATAGATTTCTTACAGTTTAAGTCATTTTGTGAAAGACAAGCATTGCTTTAATAGCTTTATTGCTTTAGCAGTTTTCAGAAAGCACGATAAGCAGATTAAATGTGAAAGGCAAAGGGATATTATTGAGGTGAACTGTGATTCAGTGTAGATTGGTTGACATTTACAAGTAAAAGTATTAAAGTTGGGCTAATATAAAAAGCAGATTACAGAATTATGCAACCAAGAATGAAGTACAGTTCCAGAGAAACATTCCTGAGAATATTTGTCACAACTTGGACTCACATCATGCTGTTGGAGCCAAAATTCTAGCTCAGGAAATGAACACTGATTTGGAGCCTTTGGACTTAAATCCCTTCTCCGCCATGAAGTTTATTGTTTGAGTTGGTTAACTACCTTTTTTTTTTGTTCTGTATCGTAGGAATAGCCCTAAGCAGCCCAGTGCGCAGACGTGCCTCTAGTAACACTATGCATTGTATTATTTCAGAAAGACGGGTGATGAAAATAATAAGATTAAGTGGTACAGAAAAACAAATTTTTTAAAGGCTGGAATGCTTAGAAGTAGGAGGAATGCCTTTTTAGGAGTAGCTGGTGTCGAAAAAAGTGTTTTTCGCCAGCACTGATTAGGGGGAGCCATGCAAGGGATAGCCTGTGTCTTCTTTGCTGGATAAACTTTTAAGAGATGGGGCTGGTCACCATCAACCCTTGAGTTTAACTATTCAGGTTGCAATCTATTTGTGTTTTTCACTTTGTTAAGGACAGTGAAGATACAATGGAGATTATAAAAGGGCACAGAGTGGAGAGCAGGGGAGGAAACAGCCCTGGGTCAGTTGTCTCCAACTATTAATTTGCTATTGACAAGTTGACCAGGCTTCCTGTGTCAAGGTCATTTCTATGTCCTCGTCAAAGCTGGTTACTGATTAAAGGTATAATAGAGTTGATGTTAGCTCCACTCTGGCGATTTGAGGCACAGCTCGAGACAGCTATCATGCTTAAAAAAATTCCATTATGAAGCTAAATCTCCTTCCTGTTAGGCTGAATTTCTTGAAAAAACCTGCTTCTAGCAAAAGATCACCATTTCCTCATTTCTCTTCTGTATTTTTTGGGAATAAGGCACTTTATTTGTCTTGCTTCCAGAGTGTGGGGGTGTTTTAGAAAATGTATTTGTCAGACTAAATGTGAAAACAAAGGTCATGCAGTAGCTTTAGTGAAACCAGGTCTTAATTGTCACATAATTGTGAGCAAGCTTATAGATTTTGCAAGAACACTTATTCAGGATGGAATTTAAGAGCCATCCACAAACAAAACTCAACTAATAGGGGAGAGTGAGTTAAATATGATGAGATGATTTGTCATCTCATATAAAAAAATAGGGCAGATCTGTGACTGTATAGTTGTGGCACCATCTTGAATTTTTGATCCCCTCCCCCTCATCTCCTGCAGACGCTCGCTGAGTTCAAACTTTAAATCAAGTTTAACAAGGAAATCCTTCCTTCCTTCCTTCCTTCCTTCCCTTCCTCCAGACATTCCTGTTATAACTGTACTTGGCCAAAAGCTTAGCTGATTCAACCCCATTTGGAATGGCTAAGGAAAAAGTAATTCAGAGTATGGGGGGGCATACCCATAGTACCTGTTAGCAACTCCGTAAACAATGGCATCCTTTCTGGTCTTGTACAGGATTCCAAGAAGAAGATTAATGTAAGGCAATGCTGACAATTGTTATATACATGCCCACAAGTACCTGAATCATATTTCTCCCTTCCAATTGGAGTCACTGCACAACCTCAGCAGTTAGTGCTCAGGAAACATCCAAAAAATTCCAGGGTTTAGACTGGACTGGGCAATTAAAAAAAACAAAAATAGGTAATGGCAAATCCTTTCCATACTGTTGCCGAAAAAGCCAATATAGACTGTCCACATAGCAACCATATATAGTAAGTGTTCTACCATATGAAGGACGTATCTGCATTTGCAGGGCGGTGGAGGTAGAAGACTTGGCTCACATACTATTTGATTGTTGTTTGTATAAGAGGGAGAGAGGCAGGTACCTTGGTTCATATATTAAATGAATGACCCATTGGGAATCCCATATTAAAACAACACACCTGATGTGCATCCAGAATCTGAAAACAACATTTACAGTAACACAGCGCAGTACTTGAGTAAAATGGTTTGGCTGAGATCGGCATATGTGGGATCGATTGGGGTGAATTGTAGGGGTGATACTGAAATATAATTTTATCTTTTTTTACTTATCTATATATTAAATTAATGTATTTTACTCCAATTTCATTTTAAATTGTTTTTATAGGATTTTATTAATAATTTGTGTTTGTGAACTCTGAATTTTGCTATGGCCTGTGGGCTAATCAATAAACTAAGCTAAACTAACTGTTCATTCAAGGGATACTTGGCTTTAAGTATTCTCCCTATTTAGGTGTCTTCTAATTTTTAGGTTGCCATTCCCAGTCATTCCATAACTACTTTATCTCTTCACTCTAGAGAAGTTCATAGTTCTTCTTTTCAACTAGGCATAGGAGAAGTTACAGTATTTGTTTTCCAGACCAAATAAGGTTTTGCTTTCTGCCAATTACAGGACTATGTTTGCTAAGCTATTCTCTTTCTTGTCATTGCAGAATGCTTTGTTCTGTTTAATCATATTGAAGGTTGCTGAGGCATAATCAGTGTTCAGGATTTGTAGCTCCTTTTCTGAGTGAAATGAGATTTGAGCAATGGGATAAAATCCTTGCTCTGAGAAGGTTTTAAACAAATTGATAGGAAGTGGAGCAGAACAGTGTGCACTATTTTTATTCTAGCTCATAAGTTGTCATTTCAACTTCACAGCAAATTATTTGTGGCAAATGTCAAATTGTTATCTGTCACTGTAAATTTTATTTTTTAAACAGCACCAATGAAATGAGACCCATCACCATTTTTTGCCATTTCTCCTGCTATGAAGTGACCATTTCAGAACGAGTCCATCATGCATCAATCTCTCTGATATAGTGAGAGCAATCCCTGAATACTTTTCTTATTTCTCATCAGTATTGCACCTGGAAGGATCTCTTCTTGTGTTTGAAGACATCTTCAAATTGGTGGCATTCTACTGTGTCAGTAGGTAAGTTGGGTAGATGATTTCCAATAATGGTGCCTAGTGACCTTGCAGATATGCTTGTGAAAATGACTAGCCTGCAAAAAATAGTCTTCAAGAGTTAGGTAGAATAGACAGCATGCTCCCTCAACCCACAAGGGAGGGAAGAGTGATGGAAAAACCTGCCTGTCCACCTGCATGGAATTCCTTGTTCCTGCTGCCAACATAATGCCTAAGTAAAAGGAGTCCATTCTCAGAGTATAAAGATAACATGTATCTATATAGATATACTACAAAAAATCCTTCTTGTTGTGACTTTTAATTTGGGTAAAATAGTGCATACAACACAACAATTTTTGAATCAAGGTATTTCAAATGGGCTTATAGAATGTATCCAAAATCCAGGACCCATGATTCCCAAGGGAATGACATTTGGGGAATTTGTGGCTCTTTCAATGCTACTAGCTGCTGCTGCGGTTACGTGATCTTCATTTTCAATATTCCATGACAGTTTACCAGCCAGTCTCGCAATCCCTCACTGTCCCATCCAGGACCAGCCATTTACTTACCTGCTAGAAAGGGGAGGGAGGGAGGGAGGGAGGGAGGGAGGGAGGAAGGAAGGAAGGAAGGAAGGAAGGAAGGAAGGAAGGAAGGAAGGAAGGAAGGAAGGAAGGAAGGAAGGAAGGAAAGGATTTATAGTGTTCCTTGCCAGATTTCCCACGAAGAAGTTCAACAGGGAAGCCAAGCAAGGAGTCAGAATTCACTCTCACTTCTACTGCTTATCCCAATATTTGAGGGCTTCCACAAAGAAGGGGGGCTCAACCTATTCTCCAAAGCACCTGGACAAGAAACAATGGATGAAAACCAATCAAGGAGAGAGCCAATCCAGAACTAAAGAGAAATTTCCTGACAGTGAGAACAATTAATCACAAGTTTGCCTTCAGAGGTTGTGGGCACTCCATCACCGGAGGTTTTTAAGAAGAGATTGGACAGGCATTTATCCAGAATAGTTTGGAGTTTCTTGCTTGTGCAGGGGGCTGGACTAGAAGACCTGCAAGGTCCTTTCCAACTTTGTTATTCTGTTATTCTGCTTTTTTTTGCTTACCTTTGGTAATTCTTTTTCTCTGTATAGATAAGGAAATATCTCTGAAACAATGACCCAATGGTACATGAATTGTCTAGTAGTCTATATAACATTGCAGCAGGCATGATTTCCACATGAAAACAGAATAATAAAATTTGTAGATGTTATTTCAAGCTATGTATGTGTAGATAATTACATTTAGTAATGCTTTCTTGGTTAACTTAATTTTTAAAAAGCCAAACCAAGCAAATCAGACAAATTTGGGACATCTTTCTATTCATAAGAAGTATTTTATTTGAAGGAGCATTCAGAATGGGCACCTTCTATCTGCAACCAATAATGTGAATCCAGCCAATTATATTCCATCCATTCAGAGCAAGTCTGTATGCAGAATAGATCTTTCTTTATAAAAAGTCCACTTGTGCCTTCTTTGTTTTTCCGCATCACCTGTCTTGCATTATAATTGCATACATCTTGAATACATGAAGTGCTACAAAGAACCAGAGGGGGAAAATAGTTGGGCACTATCCAAGGTTACCTTATGCTTTGAGGCAATCTTGTTATGAAACTATTATGTCTCAAATCTTTTTTCATTCAACATTATTAGGGAAACATAAGCAAGAGATATTTTGAGTCCTCAGAACCAGAACCAGAGTTATTATTGTGTGAGCAAAGGCGAAAAGATGGTCACAAAATGGACAGTATTTAGGACCAGGCTCAGGGTCATGTTTAATCATGTTTAATGAAAACAAGGATATGACAGCAGTGTTCCAAAATCTAAGGGTCTGCCACAAAGAAGAGGGTCAAGCTATTTTCCAAAGCACCTGAAGGCAGGACAAGAAGCAATGGATGGAAACTATTCAAGGAGAGAACCAACCTACAACTAAGGAGAAATGTATTGACAGTGAGAATAATTAATCAGTGGAATGACTTGTCTCCAGAAGTTGTGAATGCTCCAACATGGGAGGTTTTTAAGAAGAGATTGGACAATGATTTGTCTGAAATGGTATAGGGTTTCCTGCCTGAGCAGGTGGTTGGACTAGAAGACCTCCAACGTCCCTTCCAATTCTGTTATTCTGTTTTATTTGAATATCTCCATGAACGAATCAAACAAGTTCTGTCTAAATGACCTATAGTATTATGAGGAACTTGTTCATGCTCCCTCCAATTCGATATACAAAGGTGAACCATGATGTTCAAATAATTAGATCTTCAGCAATATGTGAATTGCCAGAACATCACCAAAACATCTGAAGGAGGCAGCTCTTTTCTTCTAGTACTTTAATGATGCCTCTCAGAGGTTTTTTTTAACTAAATACTGTCCATTTTTGCATAGCAGAAAGGATCTCTTTTATTTCAGGAACCCCAAAATAGCTGCTGACTAACAATTTTATTTTATATATCCACTCAGTAGGAGGGAGATGCCATCTTTTATATTTTTTTTAAAAAATAATAAATAAGTAAAATGCTGCATATAATTACGTGATGGCTGAAAGTAAGTAGTCCAATTACTCTAAATAGTCCTGTGAAAGCTTGGGAAAAGTGAGATTGCCTTGGATGGGATCACTTGCTAAAGAAAATTTAATGTGGAGGACTTGGACTAATGTAAAACAAGTATCAGCAAAATGGAATGGGTGGGCGGATGGCAGCAGTGAGTTCATTTCTTAACCTTTTTTAGGATTTGCCAAGGTAAGCAGTTTGCTTAACCCTTGTCCAATTGTCTGACAAAAATGACTTCCTTTAATATAGAGAAGCTATAGCCAAGTTCTATTAGCATATATTAAATGAAACTTGCTGTTTCAAGCTGGTTTTTTTTTAAAGAATGACCTCAGTTGGGAATAAGAACAAAGAATCTTCATCAGTGGTCTCAGAATATTTTGCTGCATCGCCCTTTATAATAGCTGAATGTAACTTGTGTCCCTAGTCTCCTGAAAGGACATGTATATATAGGGACTAATCGGTTGGAACACAGAGAACAAGATCAGAATTCCATACAATTTGGGAATATAATATGTCCCAGGAAGCATATTACAAATGTGCATGTTGTATTACCATAGAGGCTAAGACCTCTATGGCTGCATCTTGTGACATTTTAAGTGAGATAACTTTCTGGCATGAATAGCAGGTTGCTGAATAAGCTGGATATAAATGGATAATCAATGATAGCACCAGTCAGTTAATCAATTTATTTTTGTTTTAAAATAGCATCAGTCAATCTGTACTCTTTAGCTATGCTGAATGAGAATTTTGGGAGTTGCAGCCCTATTACATCTGGATTGTAAGAGGTTGGCATGATTAACTACAGTCAGTGACATCTTATGAAGAGAATGTATTTCAGAGGTCTTCCCCATTAATGCCTTTATAGTGTTCCCCAACCATCCAGATCCTGTTCTCATTACTATTATATCAGCACAATAATGGGTGGATAACTGTAGAAGACATTGTGACCATTTCATCATTCCTGATTTATGTTCTTTCAGGTATATTATACCTTCTTCATGTTTGATTGGCACAGCAGTTGTAGGATGATGCTATAAACTGTTATAAATTCCCAAATAAGGAAAGGCAATTATCACAAGTGGAGATCTTGAATAAGACATTTCTAAAGTGGTAGCTAATTATGGCAGAAATATACCTTGGCAACATCTGTTTTCTGCTCAGCTTCCATTATGTTGCCTTCAGTTTATTGACAGCCTGAGAAAGGTATGAGAAAGGTTTAAGTCATCTTAATTCTGCCTGCGTTAAAATTGTGTTTTTCTATTATTCTGACTATGTCTAAGGACAGCCTCAGAATATACAAATATGGAAGCTTTGCCATGCATTGCCTTGAAGTGAATCAGACACTAGTAGTGACTGAGAAGAGGGTGACAAAGACAGCAATGGGACCAACAATTTTTATGCCATGTCGGGGCTGCAACAGAGCACTATAGAAAGACTCTAAGACAGGGGTGAGCCACTATGGCATCTTGATGACTTCAGCTTCCAGAATTCCTGAGCCAGCCATTTTGGCTCAGGAATTCTGGGAGCTGAAGTCTGCAGATTGTAAAGATGCCATAGTTGCTCACCCCTGCTCTAAGTGCTGTGTTTATAACAAAAAAGTAATTAATGAAAAAACTTTGCGGGACCACCCATGGCCTTATATCTATGTTCATACAGTATATACATAGCTTTCACACTCTTCTTTTTGGGGGATAAAAATAGTAATGCAGAGAGAAATTAAGGGCAGTAGGCAGGACAAAGATAAGGAAAGAGGTAAAACTCTTTTATATACCTCTTCACACACTTCTTGTCCTGGCAAAATCAGCTTGTTCCCATTACATCCTTTGTATAAAAATGGATTCACTGCCTTTTGTTCTTTAAGCTTATTTCCCTTTTTATCATGATTTTATCATTTGTCCTCTTCCTTTTGACCCTTTTACTCTTCCTTCATTTATTTGGGTTATGATTTGTTACTCATGTATTGTCTCTGTATAATCCAATCACTGTACTTACCATATCATTTTGTACTAGTGCCCCAGTTTTGTTTTCCACCCACTTTTATTTAATACTCAGTCACTTGTGATCTCATCCCTATAGCCACCTACCCTTCATTATAAGTTCATTTCTACTGCACTCAGCTAATTTTTATATTTCTCCTGACACGCTGAACTCTCACTTCCTTATAACAAAATGAAATGAGCAGAAACATACCCATTACATCTTTTTTCACTTCTTTTGAATAAGTCATTACAAAAGGCATCTTCTGAACATACATCCCCATCCTCTTAAATCATCATACATAAGCACTTCTTGCACATTTATCCACATATATTTCGAATAAACAAGGGATGAATGTTAGTCACTGAAACAATTCCCTAAGCATTCCACTGATTTTCATGCAGGTTTTATTTCCATCATGACTTTATCAAATTCAACAACGCACCATCAACACCATGTTCATTCAAAACATTTCCCCCCCAAATTCAAGTCTATTCACTTCATCATATGCATCTTCTAAAAAGCAACAGAAGTGCAGCAGATTTTCTTTCCCACATTCATACATTTCTAAATAACTGCTAAAGAACCAAAATGTGGTCTGCATATCCATTAAAATTGCAATATACTTCCAAAATTTGGCAACTGTCTTCTCCTCTACCTTTATACCCTTTCATTCACAAACCTGCAAAACACCTTGATAAACACATTTAAGAAACTAATCCCCACGTAGTTCTTCCATTCAACTTTGCTGCCTTTCTTTGAACAAGGGATTAAAAATGGCTTTCTTCCAATCATCAGACTCTGATGCAATCTTGGTGCATGTTAAAGAAGTCACACAGCCACTGCATCGGCAAAGGACACTCATGTTTTCACATTTCTCTGGGTACATTTTCTAGATCTGAAGTTTATTCTTTTTCAGCACTACAACTCTCTTTTCATCATTTCTTTTTGCTTACACTAGTAGCATTTGTCTCAATTCTGCTCTAATGATAATATATTAATAATGGAGAATATTTGTAGTTCAGGGTTGAAATAATGGGGGGGGGGGCTTGGTGCTCTCTGACCTTGCTTGTTTTCTTGCAGAAGTTTCATTACCCAAACTAGGTAACATCACCAGTGCTGATATAATATATTGTTATCATTCCCATAGAAATATCTAAAATACACAAGCAAATTAAAGCCTGGTTTTATGTCAAGGGTGCCCCCCGCTATTCCGTTCTAACTAGAACCTCATATCTAGAGACCACCTTGCAAACCAATGTATTATTGCTCACAAACCAACAACCCAGAAATGTTTGAAATCAGGCAGCATCAAATTGAATAAACAAGAAACCAATAATTTGGAGATACGGGTAATCTACTGATACACACAGCAAACATTGTTTTGTTTTCTCATATTCTCTCTCTCTCTCTCTTTTGCTTTCTTTTTTTTTTCTTTTTTACTCTGTAGAGATCTCCTTCCGTACACACTAAGATTGCCACAAGCAATATTGGAAGCCAGTAGTGCCATAGAATTAGAAACCATCTCTGATTTGGGGATAGGTAAGTTGTGTTGAAAACTGATACAATATACCAACAAATACAGACTTCTTGTTTTGTTAGTTTGTTTTTGTAATATGATACTACAGATTTCTGCAAGAAAAATACATTCCAGACTGCCATGATCTGTTCCCTCTTCCCACTGTGGAACTGTTTTAGGTGCTTCCACGGTGCATTTTCCTTTATAGAAATGTATGAAAGGCTACTGAAGACAATCTTCTATTTGAAGAGTCGTGGTGGCGCAGTAGTTAGAAGGCAGTATTGCAGGCTACTTCTGCTGACTGCCGACTGCCAGCAGTTTGGTAGTTCGATTCTTACCAGCTCAACGTTGACTCAGCCTTCCATCCTTCCGAGGTCAGTAAAATGAGGACCCAGATTGTTGGAGGCAATATGCTGACTCTATAAACCGCTTAAGGAGGGCTGTAAAGCACTGTGAAGCAGTATATAAGTCTAATTGCTATTGCAATTCTATTGCTATTGAAAGGATCCTCTTCTTTGACACATTGTCCAATTCAACTCTTGATTTAAAGAACCATTAAAGGGATAGCATCAACTGTAAGTTTCCATCAACTGTAAGTAATCGGACAGGAGACGGAAAAATAAAATGATAAGAATTTATTTCTGCTATTATTCTCAGCTACATTAGTATACTTTACTGCAAATCTGAGTTCTGTTGTTTTCTTTTCTGATAATGTTTAAAGGAACATTTTAGCATGGCATTTCTCAATCTAGGCAACTTTAAAATGTATGGAATTCTTTAGGTAGCATGCTGGCTGGGGAATTCTGGGAGCTAAAGTCCATACATGTTAAAAGAGCCAAAGCTGACAAAATGCATTAGCACAACATTCTGCTTGTGTCTTTGCTTATGGGTCACCTAAAAAAAATCTAAATTGTAGAAATTTAGGCACTCGTTGCTTCACTTTGTTTATTGGTGGAGCATTGGACTCTCTTTCTGCAGTCATAAATCTGTTCCCCGACACATTTATGGGAAAACGTCTGAAAAAAAAATCTGAAAAAAAACAAACGATCTTTCTGGCTAATGCTTACAACACTGCTGGTTACATAAAAAAGAAAGAAACAACAGAGGTTTCTTTTTTTACAATTATATACATTAGGAGAAGCTGTATAAAAAAGCTCCTTATGTGAGGGAACAAAACTAATTTTAGACATTACTTTTTTTAAAAAAATTATTAAAACAGTTGAAGCAGAATACTCTTTATACAGAAAGAATAACATGGGTTGGATTTATCCTGATCCACACTATTCAGTGCCCCCATCCCTCAACAAGTTGCCTTGAACATTTGATGGGATTATAATGTTCTCATGCCATGCTGTCTGGAAGCTGTCATCCCAAAATTATGGATAGGAAAGGCTAATTTAGTGTTTTTGTATACTGTCTTGGGCTCAGAGACATAAGACAACCAATGGCAATTGCCTCAAGCATGGAAATAATATGACTAGGCTGACTTCTCACTGTCATTAATTGGGGACAGCTACCAAGTCATCTTCAAACACAGCTATATGTCAATTGGCTAATTTACATTTTGACAAATTTAAACTCATGAAATTGAAGGAAAGAAATCGGTAGAAAGGATTTTTCTTTTTAATTTGGAGTATAAATATTGCTAGTGAGGTCTAGGAAGAACTACAGAATTAAACTTAGATATGTCCTGACCTGACTACATCCACATTAGAATTCTACCCAAGGGATGGAGAACCCATGTGGTTCTACCGCTGTTGCTATTCTACAATTTCTGTTAACACTAATCAGCATGATGTTTCGTGAAAGATGCTGAGAATAGTAGTTTAGCAAACATCTGGAAGGCCTCACATTCCTTACCTCTGGAGCAGAGGGGCAGCCATCATCTTAAGATTGTCCCAGGGTCAACTCAGCTCTGAGTACAGACAATTTGCTTTTCTTCAATTTTCACACAGATACAGTACATACAGAACTCAGTGACATCATCCCCTACCTAAGGGGGCCAGGGAGAATGATGGAAAACATGCAAATCTCTATTAAAAATTCAAAATACAGGACCAGAGGAATTCAGTACATCCAGTTCAATCCCAGTGTTTTAATATTGTTTTCATATGGAGACTATTCATTTCGGAGTAAATGCACTTATATTTGTGTTTGTAAGTCTGTTCTTATTTACTTTAAATAAAATAAATGCAGTGTATTTGAGGAAAAGTTACGAATAAACAGGTTCAAATTTCATCTAAGCTAAAATTTTACTGGGTATGTGGGTATCTGAAACCTTGGGATTCATCAACTCATCTATAATATGAGATTAATATGTTCTGCACATATAATTTTTCTCACAGTAAAGAAGATGCCAAAGTAGGTTAGATCAGGATCCCGAATTCCCGGGTCATAGACCATCATCGGCCTGCAGCCTGTCAAGAACTGGGCTGCACAAGCAAGTGAAGCCCCATCTGCGCATGCATGGGATCCAGGCAGTGCGCAAAACCATGCCCTCTGGTTCACGGAAAAACCATCCCCCGTGGAACTGGTCCCCAGTGCCCAAAAAGTTGGGGGCACTGGTTTAGATTATTGAAATAATATGCACAATAGTCTACGAGTCCTTGGAAATACTTTTCCAATTATAGAGTAAATTTGCCTTGTACCAAATATATTAGCCAGGTAAGCTTAATGTTGTTTAGACTGACCAGCAATGGCTTTCTAGTATTTTAGGAAGGAGTCCTTTTCAATCCTATCTGGAAATATCCAGGACTAAACCTTGAACTTCCTGTTTGCAAAGCATATGCTGTCTCATTGAGCTATACTTCTTATTAAGCTTTCTTTTTTTAAAAAAAAAAGTCATACTAAATAAGAAAATAACTAGACTGTAGTCTTTCATATTTTTTAGGAAATCTAACCAACATAAAGAGAAGGCAACAACAGGTAGTGTGGCCATAGTTTCTTTCCTAAAAAGGAAAGATTTCATAATCTAAAACACTCACTTATTGCCAATTTCCACTTCCTCTGGAATCATAGGAGGTGGAATTCCCCATTTTGCATTGACCTTCCAAACTGATATACACATCGTCCTAGAGACAACTTGTATTACCAGCGCCTTCTGCCGAGAATGTGGTTTCTATCAAAAGTCATTGCTAAATTGCTAATTTTTAGATCTCTCTCTCTCTCTCTCTCTCTCTCTCTCTCTCTCTCTCTCTCTCTCTCTCTCTCTCTCTCTCTCTCTCTCTCTCTCTCTCTCTCTGACATTCTTGAATTTCAGCAAAGATGTCATCTATAACTTTAATTTGTTCAATTCCTGCTGAATATTATGAAGTGGTGGAAGGTGAGCTGTAAACAGGACACAGTGCAGTTGTTCTTATTCAATTTAGATTCTGTTCAATTCTGTTCCTTTTGGATTTGAGTCTTTTACTCGAATTTTCATAACACGAGGGTAGTGAAAATAAGAATCGTTTTCTAGACTTCACTCGGAATAAGTGTTAATCCCTAAGAAGAGGAAACGTTCTAAGGAACAGTACATACGTCCATCATCCGTTAAAAAGAGTTCGTCCAGACACGAAAGAGAAAACCCCTGTAATAAACAAAGACTTCCGTGTAAAGGTGAGGCAGTTATGTTCCCAGAAATAATGGCCCCTCTGCAAGGTAAGAATAAGTAATCTCTGTTTCATTTAGGAATAGGGCTAATATGTGATACTTAGGCCCATTGTTTTATATACGTTGTGGTTGTAACTATACACAATGTTCTAAACAGTATCTATTGCAAAATATTGCCACCCACTCTCTGTGAAAGTTCAGATTTGAAGACATTATACTAATTAACAGATGTAATGTTGGATTATAATGTAGAAATTGGGACAACATCTAATGTGCTGGCTTTACCTTCTGAATATATGAGTATTGTCCTTGTATCTGTGAGCCTGATCTCTCATCTAAGACAGATACGACAGGTCTGAATCTTAGCAGATATCCGGATGATATTTTTTTTTCTAATTCTGAGTTGTTTAGCAAAATGACTTACTACTATTATTTTAGTATTCTTTCTAAATTAAGGTACCCAGAAAAACTGGGGAAGTGAATTTTTCCATTAAAGAATTGTAAATTCACTTTCAGTTTTCTAAACAACCCCCTGCACTGAGCTTAGCTTGTTCTATGCCTCTATTTGGTGGTAGAATTGTAATTAGTAGTATAAAATAAAATAGACTCTGAGGTATGAAATCTGAGTTAGTTTATTAACTATCTTAACTACTTGATTATTTTGCCCACTACGGTAGACTGATTTGGTTTTTAATGGAGGTGAAATGGCTTTCCTTTTCACACATCATTATTTAGGGTATCCTTGTAAAAGTCACTGCTAATGCAAGGCTGAAGAGGCCGATAGAGCTGGTCACTCAGGGGGCCTCTCCCTGCATCAATTAGGTAATCCCTGCAAATATTCCAATAGAATCATAGTTCTACCATTGCAATGAATAGGAGAAAGCTGCTATGCAGGAGAATTTTGAATCTTGTTTTCATGAGTTCTTCATGCGGAAACCTTTACATTTTTTATTTCTTTTGCTTGTTTCATATTGTTTGAGAGAGCATAAAGTCCTCCATGTGCAAAGTCATGCAAATTTATTTTGGAACAGATCCCGAGACACGTGGGTTTGAAAAGATCAAAGTATCTCGTCGTTACTGATTAAATCGAGGTAGTTGAGTGGAAGAAACGGAGAAGAATATCTGGTAGAAGGAAAGTCTATAATATAAATGTTGTTCTACATACATGTAAATAATTTGGCAATTATTTGGGAGGTGAGGTCTTAGTCGATTTGACAACGATTTTCCAAAGTATAATTATCTAAATCCAAACATAGATGTCTTCAGGTATTGGGTTCAAGAGCTCAAAGGATGCACAGCTTTGCAGTGCCATCACCAGATTTTGCCTTATACAAACTGTTGAAAGAGCTAATTTGATATTTGTATTCTATTTGTATATCCAATGAATAAGAAGTTGTTAGAAGCATCTTAAGAAACTTTCTGCAACATTGTTCCATTTCTTTCTGTATCAGATATGCTTTGGGTGTTGCATTTTCCTAATTATGTTCTCAACCACATGGGTAAAAGCATTCAGAAAGTAGTTTGAAGTGCATTTCCTGGGTTCAAAGGAATTTATTTTTTTTTTAGAATCATGTAGTTGAAAGGGAATTCAAGTAATCTAATCTTTGCTGGTAAAAGCAAAAGTTTATTAAGCCTTCCCTGATAAATGGCCATCCAACCACTTATTAATCATTTATAAAACATAATATTCCAGGTAGAAATGAATCTACATTTGACCTAGCTCATACGTCTTCAAATAATACCTCTTGCCTAATATTTCCATATTCATTTGCAGATTAACACTCTACCATTAAAAAGGAAGCAATTTATGCTATGAGTTGGCCTGATGGCACTTTTTGAAATAGAATTGAGTAATAAGATTCCAAATGGCTATAAAAGCACAGCTACCAACATGTTCACTGAAATTAAGGTGACAAATGATTCTGGAAGCAAAGGGTCTCATCCCGTCCAGGAAATTTGGATTGGGAAAAATGCTGGCTATCCCTATATATTCATGAAGGCTATCAACTTCCTTTCCTCCTATAATGTCATGACACTATTTACCTTAATTTATATTAACTGGATCAGTATGAAACACCGTGGAATATTCATGTACAGTTGGGCATAGAATAATTCTATGTTTTAAGCAACATTGTGCAAGTGGCATTAGAACATTATTGCTTTTAGTTGGCTATTATTGGGGATATACTTATTTATTCGCAGGTTTCTGGAACTCCTCTTTGCATCAGAGGCAAGGAAGAAGGCTTCTCCATTCTGTGAAAGATCCTGCTTACATCACAGCTCAGGCAAAAAAAGGAAAGAACCCCAGCCAGCCTTTTGCAAGCGGCACAAACAATTGTTCATGTGAAACTGAGCTGTCAGTAGGAAGTGACAAGCTGTGGTTTGTAAATCCTATTTTTATAGAGGAGAGCAGCTATCCGTTTCCCCCACATGTTTCTCCTTCAGAGATCTTCAGGGAGAGTCCTTCTGGTGGTAGAAACATTGTGACAAAACTTCCAAAGAGGTCTCCTACTCGACGTCCTCCTCCTCCTCCTCCTCCTTCTCTTCTTCCTCCTCCTCTTCCCCCTCCTCCTCCTCCACCACCTCTATTGTCCTTTCATGCTGTGAAACAAACCAAAACATCTTCTATGACCCCTTCCAAAGAGGATCAGTTCCATAATTTGGAGAAAACCAAAAAAGAGATGAAAACTGAAATGAGCAGAGACAAGGAAGAGAGCCGCCCAGAACTCTTTTTTCCTCATAGCCTTCCATCTCCAAAGTCGAAGAAGATTCCTCCATCCATTCCACCAAGGCGATGTTCATCTGAGAGAACTTCAGGAAATTCTTCCTTCGATAAAAGTCAGAAAACTTCACTGCCAGAAGAAAAACAAGTAGAAAAACAGAACAGGGGGAATGAAGCTTTGGCTAATGATCACCAGTGTGATGAGGCTCCAAATGTATTGGCAGAAGTGACGGAGAAATCTGCCCCAAATGCTGAAAAAGTAAAGCCTGCTGGAGAGGACAAGAAGGAACTTACAGAACAGCTGCAGAATTTATCAGGAAAACCCCCCCAGCCTCCCATCCAGCCTCCCATCCCACCGCTAAGAAAGAAGAAGTTCTTTAAGCAGTCATCATCTACCACCTCTTTTTTTTTGGAGCACAAGGACACTGAAGAGTCAGAGGCCCAACAAGAAAACAAACAAAGAGTAGAAAAAACTTGCTCCATTTCCAAAAAGAAATCAAAATCTGGCCTTAAACTTGTCAGCATATCGGATTCTGAACGTTCAAGTGATTCATTGCATTGTCCTGTAGGCAATGCAAGGGCTCAAATGTCTGCCTCTGAGCCAGATTCTTATTCTACAAGTAGCACTGAAGATGAGTTTGAATTGATGACCAGTCCTACTGTGAAGAAGACCCGTTCTATGATGTTAGGCAGAGCCAAGCGTCGTCTGTCCATGGTCAGCCTAAGCAATGTCTTCACGGCATTTCTCTCTTCTGACCGAAAGATCCAGAAGAAGATTGTGGAACTGGCCCAGGATAAAGACTCTTACTTTGGCAACTTGGTACAGGACTATAAAGTCTACAGTCTGGAGATGATGGCAAAGCAGATCTCCAGCACAGAAATGCTACAAGAGATTCGCTTAATGATGACACAATTGAAGAGTTACTTAATTCAAAGTACAGAGCTGAAATCTTTAATGGACCAGACTGTTCACACAGATGAGAAGCTAGGTGAGTGTTCACATTTCTATGGGGGTTTTGATCTATAAGCAAGAATGGCATATAGTTTCATTGCATATGGATTAGGGTAATAGGAGATAGCAAATATAGTAATTTTCATCTAGAGGTGCTCCAGATCCAACCCAACAGAACACTTAAGAGTCTGCTTCTGTTGTTCCTTCCCTTTTCAGAATGGTATTTTAGAAAATTGGATAGAGAAAAAAATCATTTGGCCTGAGTTAAAGAATATGTTTTGATTTCATTCACTGCATTTCAGCATATAACTACAGTTTATATTTATTCTTAATTTTAAGAAACCTTCAGTTATATGCACTCAACAAAAATAACCATCAACTTAATAAGAAGAACATGGAGATCATGTAGAGTCGGCTATTATCAAAGTTGATTCCTTTTTCCACTGCACTTTTTCCCATAGTCCTTTTTCTTCTTTTTATTCCACATTGGCATAAACTAAGGTACATGTTGTAAATTAACAATATGAATACAACCAAGGACAAACATGGTGGATAGAGCATCTAAGGAGAAAGTAGTCTTTCTGAAGAATTGGTTATTTGTTTTAACTTTTTGATCCTCAGTTAGTTTTGTATAGATATTCCCAGGATTAGGATGAAAAGATGCAAAGTGCTTTTTAAGTCTGGTCAATAGCCACTATTCAATGGTATATTTCATACACAGCTATCCACAGATTTTAAAAAACATGCTTCAATGATACAGCTGATTGTGGATCATTTCGAAGTAAATGTGTCCCTTTCTTTTATAATATTATCATGCACTTTGGTATCCAGGCATCTAGTCTATGAGACTATTTTTGATATAAACATGTGGAGAAAGCTTATTCTACTAAATTTCTCATTTCAGACTGCTTTCAAAATGTGTAGAAATGTCAGTTCTATGCAACTGAAATTTCCATGGTCATTAGCTATCAACTTTTCAGTATCTAGCTCTTTTCTATTGTACAGACTATAATTATTGACTTATTTAGGCTTAAGGATTTAATTTTATGCATGTGTTACATTAATAATATTATGGACTTCAATTTCCATCAACCCCATCAGTGAGCCCAATGGCAAGGGATTGCGGGAGTGTATGGCAAAGCATTTTGAGAACATCAGAAATGCCTATTTTGCCATGCCCATTAATTTGGTACTAACACTACTGAAATCATTGAAATTACTTCTGGGTAAATCTTGGGAGTCCATAACTGCTATGATTGGCATGTACATTAGTATTATTGAAATATTAGTTTGTGTCAAAGTTTCCAAATTAAATTGCAGATTGGTCTGATTAGTTCTGAGAGGAGAGAGGAAGTTTGTCTGAAAGTGCCTTTTTAAAAAGATACATGTTGTATATATATACAGTATGTCATTGCTTGTCCAATTGCTACAAAGAGGATCAAGTACTTTGGCTGTATTCTCATGGACTGACTTGGATTATGAACACCCCAGAGCTGAGACAGGACAGTGTGATGCAACCTGCTGAACGTTTGCGAAAATGAACTTGGGATTTTGCTCAATTGTTGCAAATCTTTGGCAATAATTTCAGTAGAATATGAGTTATAGAGTCATGAACTATGTCCTTGCAGAATTTAACACTATTCATGGAGGATTGTTTGTTTCACAGATATAACAACTATGAGTCTCATGTAGAAATGAAAGTTTTAAGAATTGCTCCATTACATATCCACTTCCTAAAGCAGTGATGGCGAACCTTTTAGAGACCAAGTGCCCAAACTGCAACCCAAAACCCACTTATGCATCGTCGGGTGCCAGGTGGGTGTGGCCCATTGGGTGAGTGTGGCCCATTGGGTGGGCGTGGCTGTGGTGGTAACAGCAGACTGGGTGGGACTAAAAAGTTCAATCAATCAGTTCCAACTTTGCAAGATCTTTTTTTTTTCCCACGAGAAGTTAAAATTGACTGATTGATTGAACCTTTTTTTTTTGTACACGGCGGCAGAGGCCTAAAGTGAAAAGGCTTTATAAAACCCAGCTGAAGGCCTAAGACTGGGGCGACAGTGCGTGTGCCCACAGAGAGGGCTCTAAGTGCCGTCTCTGGCATCCGTGCCATAGGTTCGCCACCACTGTCCTAAAGGATCGTTTATTTACACAAACATGCTGTTGATATTTCCTCCTGATCAAGAACTGAGCTCCATATTTTTTTTAATAGAAAGCTTCCAATTCTTCACAACATGCCTCTCCCTGGGGAATTACTTGAAACTGCTTTGAAAAAAATGCTGAGACTATCCCTGAGCTTACTTCCCTTGTTACATCCAGACAAAATTTCACTTATAATTTTCCAAAACTATTCTTTCATCTCTTCAAGAATGTTAAGATCTTTGGAAAATGACAGAAATCTTCTAGCCCATAGCCCGTAGACCAGTGGTGGCAAACCTATGGCACGCGTGCCAGAGGCGGCACGCGGAGCCCTCTCTGTGGGCACGTGCCATCGCCCCAGCACATGTAGTCTCTAAAAGTTTGCCATCACTGGCCTAAGGCCAGCCAGCCTGGAGTCACCATTGGGGAGCCCACCATCCCACCCGCCAGAGACCCCCTGGATCTCCCCCAACCCTGCCTGGCTCCCACAGGTGTCCCTCCCCATAAGCAACATCAAGGTGGCCACACCCACCCCAGCCATGCTCACCCAATCTGCCATGACTACTGCAGCCATACCCATCCAGTGACCATGCCTACCCAGTCTGCCAAGCCCACTGTAGCTGCACCCACCGAGTGGGCCACGCCCACCCGGCACCCGGCGATACATAAATGGGTTTGGGGTTGCAGTTTGGGCACTCGGTCTCTAAAAGGTTCGCCATCACTGCCGTAGACAAACACACAGTCATACACACACACATACACATACACACGTCATCAGTCATGAGTCCCTTCATGTCCACAAGAGATCTAAGTCCAGCCCCCGTGAATTCCTTATTTACAGCCAAATTGCTTTAACCATTAGTATTTCAGATTCTTATAGGGAGCTTAAGTTTGTAATAAATATATCTATTTGAACTGACTGGATTGCTTGATTTCCATGGCACTTGGCAAAAGCTCTGTCTTAGCTCAAGTGCTGATGAAATATGATATTTATTTTATTTACAAATAGCCTTTAGCCAGAGAAGATCTATCTCTGACTTCATCAAAGCCTAATCCCTCAAATTTGATTATAAAGTGGCTAATGGAATTTGTACAAACATGCACAGGTGCCCAGAGTGATGACAGAGAAAACCCAAAATTACATTTTATTGTGAAAGTTAATTGAGGTCAGGATCAAGGCAGGTAAAACAACAAAGTCATTATTAGCTGTGTTGATATAGATCTCTACTGGTTCCAAAGTCTGAATATGCCAGTCTTGTTATGTCGCTGCTTTCTCATATATTCATTTGACATGTTTTATTTTCCCCCTTTTCAGAGGTGATAATAGAATCAGCTTTGCACAAATGTGTCTTGAAGCCTTTAAAAGGGCCCATTGATACTTACCTACGGGAAATCCATAACAAAGATGGATCTTTCAAACTCCTAAAGGAAAATCAGGAAGTCATCCAAAATACAACTACAACCGACTTGGGAGTCACTACTAGTGTGCCTGAATCTGCATTGCTGGAGAGAATACTCCATAAATTCACCACCATGACCAAGACTTATTCTCCAGAAAAAAAAATCAGCATTCTACTGAAGTCTTGCAAACTCATTTATGATTCTATGACTCAAGGAAACCCAGGTACTATAAGACACCCTTAAAAAACCCAGCCATACTTTTTTAATATTAATAGCTCTTCTGATAAAGTGACAATGATGGTTAGTGTAGATTTGTGCTAGATATAACAGAACCTTCAGAATTTTTGTTCATGAGAGCAGTATCTGAACAGATACAGAAACATCTGAATTAAACACACTAGAGATTATCAAACAGTTGCAAGAATTATGGCACTATTAGCAATAACGGCCTCATCAGAATTATTTTTACCTCGATTGCACATTAGGCTATGTTTTGGGCAGCCCTTGAGCCACTAGGATTAATACTGTCTTATTTTTTACTATCACTGGTGGGAGAACCATCTATAACAGTTTATCACTCACTTGGGTAGAGTTAGAACTTTTACTAGTGCTGTTCCTCTGCACTGGCAGAGACTATCAAAGAAGCATTATTCTAAACATCTCTAACCGTTAACAATAGGATATTTGAATGGCAGTCTAAACTATTTCCTAACTTACTGAACCTCTAGGGCAGGTGTGTCAAATTACCGGCTCGCAGGCCAGATGTGTCATAGCGAAATCGCGCCCACCCCATTACCAGCAATGGGGAAAAAATCTGATACGTCGCAACACGTCACGTGATGTTGCGAGTTTGACACCCCTGCTCTAGGGCTACCTTACCTTCTGAAACTTTTATTGGAGGCAGCCAACTTTCTGCTTCTGATTTGGATGCCTTTCAAAAATCTCAATTATTCTTGATTTGGTTAATTTACAGCATACTGTAAGCTGACTTTCAATGTTGTCCACCAAAAGAAAATTCAATATTATGTTATAGAGTTGTCAACAGTAAAATTAATACAACAGGAAGATGTAGCTATTTGAATGCTTTATATATAAATGCAAGCAGACACTGGGATCCAGAGATGTGGAATTTTATGGCTCTTCATGGTTTGAAAATGAAAGAAAATAACCTGATGTGTTAATAATGTGTTACTGATAATATAATTTTGATCTACCACTAATTCCCCCAGGGCTACTTAAGGACATTGAGAAAATATGGGACAGAATGTTCAATTGAATTTCCCCACACCACACTTTTTTCTTCTCACTATATCCCATCTCAGTTTAATTTATTTTTTTCCTGCTTTGCTTTTATGAAAGTGGAGTCCCAATTAATGGGAAAGTATGGGAATTTCAAAATAGTAAAATATCTTTTGAGATTGTTTTAAGTAATTAGTTTTATATCCATAAATGAAAACAAGCAAATCATCTGATAATTTTAAATGCTGGATCGTATTCTGGATTGTGTCTGTTGCTGCTACCCTATAAAAAGCTATTCCTATCTTATCTAATAGTCCTTACTCCATATTAGTACCCTTCAAATAGAGCTAGCCCACCTGCTGAATGGGAATTCTGGGAGTCATAGTCCCTCTATACCTTAATGGTATCAATTTGTGAACAATTACCAGGTAAATGTCTGTAAACTTATGTTTGGTTGATTAAAGATAGAATAGTGTTCTTCAAACTTGGCAACTTTAAGATTGATGGACTATAACTCCCAGAATTGGATCAATACCTTCCAGATGTGTTGCAACTGCAACTTCTAAATTTATTTATTTGTTGGGTTTTTATTATTTTATTATTCCTAGCCCCATAATCCAACGATTCTTGGATTAAATTAATTATGCTAAAGCATCTATAAAGAAAACAATAAGAAAACAGAAAATAACAGTTGGAAAGTCACCCCAAATAAGTCCAAAATTACAATCAATAAATATATTGTGACATCCTTTTTCCTAAAATAACTTGGCTTTCAATTGTTCCTGAAAAACTAAGGTAGAGGAGGACTGGTCAGGTTTCAAGAAAAGGATGTATCAGAGACAGATACAGCATTAGAAAAACAATACTTGCAAATCTCCATTCCCATTTCCCCTACTACTAGCAGGTCTATCCATGACAGATATATTGGGGAGAAGACCATCCTGGAGAAGTCCACTCACAGCAGAGACTCGGGTTCCAGTACATCTGTTGGATAATAAGATTGGGAATAGACACACTAGATCCACCAAAGTCAGCAAGACTGTGCTGTGACTTTGGGAGGCTTATAAAATACCATTGTAAAAATATAGTAGTATTGCAGCCTGAATTTGTAATCAGGATCTGAAATTCATTAGTAAGAGGTTGCTGATTTTGTTGTACCGTGAAAGACAAGATCCTTTCTTTTAAGAAAAGTTGTGTTATTCCTGAATAGCATATTTGAATACTTTAATTAAATATGTTTGTAAAATATTTAGAAATCAACACACAGCTATCTGCTCCATTAATTATTTGTCCAGTTCTATCACAAAATCAAGGGAGACACACGTTTACCCATAAGTGAGGAAAGTTTCTTCATTCCTTTATGGACATCTGGGAAGGATTCCAATTTCTTTAAACTCTGCATTCAATTATTAAATACCTCTATCTTTCAAGTCCCGGCAGTCCAATCACAATTAATGGTTGACCCAGCAGAGTTTAACTAGGAGATGGTAATAGCATGGGACTTTACAGCACAGTAGGAGAGTGTTTATTTTAAGCCTCTTATAGATATTTATGAAACAATGTTTCATTTCTTTGAACAAAAACCAAAAAGAAGACAAGCTGGATTTGGAATAAGGCAGTTTCACCTTGAGCAAGTGAGGCTGTTCCAACCTCACTGAAGGAACCCCTGAAAGATTTACAGCTGCTAATTTGGTCAGAGGGAGGAGACCGAGAATTCAGGCAGATTCTTCTCTTTCCTTTCTTGCTTCCCAGAATGACAAATACTAGAGATTACAATCTGTCTCTCCAGCACTCACCAGCTGTGGACCACTATTTGCACTTTACAACACGTGCCAACAAGAAGTGTT